AAACAAGAGCTCAGACATACACAAAATGGCAGGAAAGATGGAACAACTACTAGGGATGGGCAAATACCTTCATTAAAAACGTAAGGGACTGGCACAAGAGAAGCTGGGGAGAACTAGATCACTACACCACAAGAAAAAACAAGACGAGGGGTGCTGGTTCTGCGAGGAGGAAAGTGACAATCCGAAACATACAATTTTCGATTGCTCCAGGTTCACACAGGAAAGACTACAGGCTGAAGTGGAAACTGAACAGCGGATAACTGAAGACAATATAGCAGAACTGCTATTAAGCACAAAAAGGAATTGGGATATAGTGGCAGGAATGTTGAGAAATATTATGAAGGTCAAGATGGTGGAGGAAAGGAGAAGGGAGGCACTGCTGCAAGGTTTAAAGAATGCACGAACAAACGCAAAGGAGGTACCTAAAAAAAAGGAAGGAAATCCGCTCAACCCCCCCCCCCTAAAGTAATACTTAACGGTGGTTCCAGGGGGTGTTATTCAGGCCAAAAGTAGGGGAAGGGTTTTAGTGGGTGAGAGTCCCACACTCCCTAGGTCGCCAGAACAACAATGACCTAGGCGTGCAAATGCATTTCCAATCCCTACTATAAAAAAAAAATGACGCGCCATCCTGTCCATCCATGACTCCACTTATGTGAGCTGTCTCTGAAGACTTGCTCTATTCGTTGGCATGTCTGGCTGTGGAAGTAATAGTTGTGCCGTCAGCGTTTGTCAAATGCTGGGTTTTTCGCCAAGGAATATCGATTATGTATATGTTGAATGACCTGCCAAAATAGGTCTATTTGTTGATGTTTTAAGGTTGAATCTTGAACCGTCTATTCAAACCTTGAATTTTGTGTAGAGATGAATTGAATTTTATATTGTGGTGAGGGTAATCTATACGCCTTCGTACCATATCTCTTGAAATACCATTGTCATGTTCTGGTTCACCGCAGCGGTTCCCATCATACGGCCGCCTCCTTTTGGGATGGTGGATGTTAGTCTGGAAGCTGGGTAGCTTTCTTCATAATCATAATTTCTAATCTAAACGGTGGCGGGTAACGGAGCCACTCTATGTTCTTGGAGCAGTTTTTTTAGGGCAATATTATATGTATTGTTCCAACCTGACGCTTCTCTGAGGTATAGGACCACTATCGTTTTACTGATGTGTCTTGTGATTAAATTATGTTGGTGGAGTTGGTGTAGTGCTGGCATGGACTGTCTTGCTCTGGCTTTCTTGGAGGGTTCGGTTGGTAATTGATATTATTCGTCCAGGTTGCTAATATTGATCTTTGCCGGCCATGGTTTCTCGTCTCTCCTGCCAATGTTCATTGTAACGGTCTCGCTATTTGTTGATCTTTCGGTTCATTATGTTTACGCTTTAGAAAGAGATCTCCTACACTTGGAGTGATCCTTCTGATGCTGTTTCTTTCTTGGATATCTTCCTATAACTCATGCGGTAACCCTTCATCTAAGACCTCTATGGTGGCTTATTTTATCAATTTGGTGACTACTGCTTACAGATTGGGTGTTGTCCAAATTCCTGGGAGTGGTTCTGTTTATTTCGAGAGATCCTGGAAGTCGGCCGAGTAAGTAAATCTTCGCGTGGAATTTTCGATTATTACCGGCCTGACGATGGATTGTGTAGGCCTTGTGTAATGCTGTTATAATTTCCTCAGTCTACACGTCTCAATTATTCAATTGCTAGAGCTTCTTGGATTTAGTCGCCAAAAGATGGATTTGAGCTCGTCTGCAATTAGAACATTGCATTCTTGCGAAAAATTGGTTTGGAACAACTTGGCGTCTTGCTATTATGCATGAGAAAAGAAAATTATTTTGGGTAGGTATTTTGAAAACACTCATTTTCTCATCCGGTAACCTTATTGATTATTGGTGATTTGAATGTAAGTAACATCCCACATAACAAAATTGCATCCTTAGAATGTAATAGGAATGTTCTTTTTTTAGGAGGAATGTGCCTAGAATGTTCGCCAAAACCATTGCGAATATCCTGAGAATGTTCTGAGAAAAGATTGTAGAAATACTGTTTGCAATACCCAAGATCTTCCTGGGAAATCCATTAGGGTATTCCTAGAATATACCTATGAAATTCTCAGTATATCCTGAAAAGAATATTTCTGTTTGATTCTAAAAATATGCCTGAAATGTATATTCTCATATTCAAAGAATGTTTCTATGACATTATAGTTATGTTCTCAAAAGAATATTATACTAATATGTTTGAAATATTTTTAGAATATATCTATATATATCATTCTCAATATGCATCCTAGACATAACATTCTTGTTTGATTCTAGGGATATACTTGGAATGTTAATTTTCGCTTCCAAATAATGCTCCTTTCAGTCCTTTTATATTAAAGGCAGTGAAAGAGTTGTTGGAAAACTTCTCTGGAAAACACAAGTGTTCAACCAAAGCTCCGATTTTGAGCTTGTTATGCTCTCGTCGCGGTAAGCACGCCAACTGAGAAAAACAGGTTCCAAGGTGATTCAAACGCTAGACAAGATGTAGATCTTTAATAGCGCGTGGCTCTCTCTCTTGGAAGTCCTACAAAGCAAAAGAGAAAGTATATACCTATAATATTCTTAGTAGGTTCCAGATAGAGCATTATTGTTTAATTGTTCAATTAAGATTTTTGAGTAGGTGCTCTAGATAATTAGGTGAACAACATGAAAATAGTCTTATCATAGTTACCTACCTACATAAATTTCTCAGCACAACTTGGTAGGTATATTCTTAATACTTGATAGAGATATTACCCGAAAGAACATTTTTTTAGGGTACATTATGATAAGGTTCGATGACAATATTCAAATAATGTTATATAAAGTAGGTTCTTAGCACGATCTTTCAGGTAGGTGCATAGAAGCAACATTCCTAGTACACAGAGCTGGGATCGTTACTTGAAAAAAGTAACGCGTTACTTTACAGTTACTTTTGCTTAAAAATAACTCGTTACTTAAAATTTCCAGTTACTTTCGAATAATGATAACTTTATTTTCGTTACTTATTGGAAAGTAACGCGTTACTGTAATTTCTTAACTTTGAAAGTAACTTCTTTACTTTAAAAGTAGTTCGTTACTTTTAAAGTAACGCTTACTTCAAAAATAACTATTTACGTCGAAAATTGCGTTATTCCTTAATTTGACTCACCAACACAGCAGTCCAATCAACCAAGACCTATACGAAATGCCAATATGTTTTTAGTTTGTGAGTCCGACTATGTGGAAGAGTATTCTTGCAAAATTCAAGCGGATTAAGGATTAAGCGACTGAATAGAGCACTTGGTTTTGGACAAACCTGCTCTTTGAAGCGTCCCAGTGTCTGCATATAGTGCTTTAAAGCAGAGGCGGCGCGTGGCACGCCCAAAAACGATTATTTTGAGCTTTCAAAACAAATTTTCTGTACTACCAACATTTTATTTGACATACAAAGTTTTTGGATTACTTATTTTCCTTTTCCTCACTCGTCAATTATTTGTAAAGAAGATAAACAAATTGAGAGAACGAGTTACTTTCATAGTAATTAGTAACGCGTTACTTTCAGCGTTACTTCAGGAAAGTAACGTGGTTACAGTTACTTATCAAATCATCTGAACAGTAACGAAGTTACCAAGTAACGCGTTACTTTCAGTAACTCGTTGAAGTAAAGTAACTTTTTTTTGTCGTTACTCCCAGCTCTGCTAGTACATGAATAGAACGTTCAAAAATGAATATTTCAATCGAAACAATCTCAGAATATTCATTAAACATTTCTAAAAGAACATTCCAAAAAGCACTTTGAGGGAATATTCTGAGAATATGAATTTTTTTTCTCTGTTATGTGGGATGCAACATTTCATGCTCATGACACCTGAATCTAGGTAAGCGAATGTATCACGCGCAATTAAGCCTTACCATTCGCTATTTCTTGATCTGCGGCATGCTGACCGACATGACATCTACCAACGTTTTATACCAAAAATTAAGAAAAATCAGGTATAATTTTGCAGGACTGATGATCTAAACCGCATTATCAGTGAAAATAGTTGTGGCGGGAGTTGCAGGAAAAACTGCGATCCCCAGAGAGAAAGACGCAGGTTAAAACAAATTACAAAAAGATGAGATGCAGTGAAACCGATTCTGTGCCTCAAGTGAAATTGAGCGGGTAATATCACCAGAATAGGGGAAAATAATGGACGAAGATTATCAAAAATTGGCATCTAAGATCAGAAGCATCAGAATACAGGAATATTCCCCACTTGTGGACGCACGACATTCAGATAATCGCTGGAAACTGGAGATTGGTTGCTCGGGATAGAAAAGAATGGCAAATTTTGATAGAGAAACAGTGGGTAGGATGAGCTGACGATGATTCATTTATTCAAATAGTGGTTTGCTGATCTTAAAAGTAATACTTTTTAAGTAATAAAATTACTAGTGATTAAAATGTTTTTTTAAGGGCCAAATTATGGACTGACTGGTAAACGTCTGGTTATTACCTAGCAGGTACTTTCTATGCTCTAGATAATAGAAAGTACCTGCTAGGTAACAACCAGACACTTACCAGTTGGTCCATAATTTGGCCCTAAGCCTTGAGAAAATGTTTAATTAAACACAAAACGACGTTGCGCTAAATTATGAAATTCCATTTCTGTCCTTATACACACAATTTCGGTAATAATTTAAGGAATTATTTTGATTCCACTTCGAAAAAAACCGTTTTGTCGATAAAATGCACTTGATGCTTTTGTAGCTAGTTTTGGACCACTTTTACCACCTTTCAAAATAATCATCGACATTTCTCAGCTATACGCTCTCCGAATTTTAATTCCTCTCTTCCGCCAAAATTTCCCTAACTTAATTTTAAGTCACCAAACCACCCCCAAAATCCTTTATCCTCCGAAGCAATAATTTAATAACGTCGCTTTACAGACTTAGCTTCGGCTTCAAGTTAATGCAAGGAAACTAGAGATGGGAGAGTGACAGAGATGGATACTCACCGTCTTTGTTCATCCCCATTGCCAAGCACTTCTTTAGTCTGCAGGCTTGACACTGATTGCGGTGAGCCTTGTCGACGATGCATCGGCCCGTACCAGCTTGACATCTGCAAAAGAATAATAATTACACTTTTAATTCCGTTTTTGTTTGGTATTTTTTTTGAATTAATAAAGGTAACTATGCCTGATTGAAAACAGTTAAATTTGGAAACCTACACAGTTACTATCTAGAACTGCTTCACACAAGTACATAAAATTTATATACCTAAAGCTAAATTATAGTGTTTATGAAAATATGTACTTGTATCATCATAATCTGTGACAAATCAGTGTTATTTAATGTTTACACGTAGTCAACCACCTGCAACCCCTGCTAAATGGACCATCGTTCTTGTTGTATCAAACTAAATCTCGGTAAATACTCGGGGGATGGCCTTCTATTACGTCCCTCTTACTTTATATGTTGAAACCCTAAAATGACTCAATAAACTAGGGGAGGTATATCGCTCATATCAAATTTAATTTAATTTTATGATTAGATGTTCAATAGGTTAGAATCGAGGTTGAAATACAAAAAAAAAAAATTATATTATCTAATGAGAGTGGTAACTGGGTTATTACCGCATGCAAGAGAAATTTGCAAACCGACAAACATACGTATTATATTTAGTATTTCATCAACAACCGTGCGGCAACAAAAGATCCGAAAGAATGTCATTATTTTGTACAGCGTGCCGTAATATAATATTACAACAGGCTGTGCGGTAATATGTTACTTACCGCTCGCAAGTTAATTATTCCATATTTTTGATAAGCATATTACTACTACCAAAAAACGTAAGCGAAGCCTCGAAATATTGGACGGATCACCAAGACGACAAACACGGTGAAGAAAATAGACTATGAATTTCGCTATACGTGAAATGTACAGGGTATAAGACTGAAAACGGATATTATTGCATCAGAAATTCAGAAATTGAACATCGATTTAGTAGCACTAACTGAAACCAAGAAAAAAGGAAGTGGCACCGAAAATGTTGGATAATGTATTCACCCTTTTACTGGAGTATCAAAGGAAACGAGAGGGTATCCATACTCATAAGAAAAAACCGGAAAAACAAAATTTACAACTGGGAAGCTGTAGATGAAAATACCCTAACGGTCAACTTGAAACTACATGGTTGTAACATCACCATCGTAGCAGCCTACACTCCATCAGAGGATAAAAGAGTCGGCATTAAGCAGGAGTTCTTTCAAATAATTGGATAAAATCCTAGTAGATATTGGAAGAAATAGAGAAATCATAATGATAGGGGATTTCAATGGAAGAACAGGAAGGACGAACAAAAGCCCAGCTATAGGACCATTTGGAGAAGAAATAATGAATGGTAATGGCCAAAAGCTTAAACATCTCTGTGAGACCTACAATCTCAGAATAAACAATAGACTTTCCAAACACAAAGATATTCACAGAATACCCGTAACCTGAAAACTATTATTGATTATGTGACAAGCAAACAAGAAACAACCATACCTATAGTGCTAGCGGCTCAACCGGAATATTGGCAATTTGTGGCTATTAATGACTGAAAGATGAGATGAGTAAGATTTTGTGGAATCAAGATAACAGATAAGAACCGCTTAAATAATCTCTTAAGAGAACTGCAAGAACAGACTGAATCTCAAATTTGTGCAGAGGGGTTAGGAGGTAATTCTGGGGAAGGCTGCTCCCAAGATGACACTCAGGCCACGAGATCAAAATTTCAAATACCAAATGTTATGAAACACATATGTATGTTTTTTATGCTTAGGCCAAGCTACTCGTAAGCAGATTTAACACCGCTGTGAGACCTATGGTGTTTGATGCTAGCAAATTAAAAATTGTGCTATTCTATTAGAGGATATTCGTCCGTTTTCGAGAAAATTCCAATAAACCTAAAAAATGTACCTTTGGGGGTGGTTTTGGGGTTGCGCCCCCTATCGGATTTTCTGTGATTTTTAACCAATTATAGAAAACACTGAGAGGAACGCAATGACGCAAAAATCAGCTTGTAGCAAATTTGTTTAGGGTTACCCACCTAGTTATAGCCTAGATGTGCAGATAGAGATATACAGTGACCGCCAAAAAGTTTGCAACAAATGGGAAAACATTTCATTATTAAGATATCAAAAAAAAAGGTTTCGTGGGATCAATTCAGCATACCCATTATGTGACTACAGTCATGGCGGCAAATTTAAAAAGTTCGCCTTAAATATGTGAAAAGTGGGGTTAGACGACCAGAAATCGAAAAATTGTAGAGAGAAAAGTTGTTCAGGATCCGATTTTACGTCCATGTGTCAATTTTTAAAAAGGTACAAGGATTTTTTATAAATATCAATTTTTTAGCCTGTTTTCTGGTAATTTGAAAAATATCAAAAACTTTCCGTCTGGTTCACATAATTCAGATTGAAAATAACAAAAAAAAAATCCAGTGCAGTAATTCTGCTTAATTGTCCCGTGAAAAATTGTAAAAAACCAAAAATTCATTATCAGTCCACTCTGATCTTGTTGCAATGACCTACAGAAAACAAAAATTTGGAATAACAAATTTAGAATTACCATGAAATCTTTCTGAATGATCCAATACCTCTTTTCTAAATTTAATCAAGCCAATATTTTTGTGAAATGTTTCCGATATTTTTCAAATTACCAGAAAACAGGCCAAAAAATTAATATTTATTAAAAATCCTTGTACCTTTTTAAAAATTGACACATGGACGTAAAATTTGATCCTGAACAACTTTTCTCTCTACAATTTTTCGATTTCTGGTCGTCTAACCCCACTTTCCACATATTTAAGGCGAACTTTTTAAACTTTCCGCCATGACTGTGGTCACATGACATCTGTCACAGTGATTTTTTTTGTTGATGGGTATGCTGAATTGATCCCACGTAACATTTTTTTTGATATCTTAATAATAAACTATTCTCCCATTTGTTGCAAACTTTTTGGCGGTCACTGTATATAGTTGCGATTTCTATCTCTTCCTTTTTTGAACTTCACTCTAAGGCACTATAACTGTTATGGATACTATTTGGAACGAGCCATAATGTCAAGATGTCAGAAATTTGATTTCTATGCTGCCAGGCAAATCCAGCGGGTTAACACCTGTCGAGGTGGTAGAAGTTTAATTTCTATGCTGCTTGGCAACCCCAGCGGCAGCAAAAGTACTTTTAGTGCCGCTCGTACTTTTACTGCCGCTCAACCATTCACTTGCCCCCGACCTTACCCCATTAGTTTGAAGAAAAAATAGCGTGTTGCATATGGAGTAGAAGCACTTTTTTGTGCTTCAGCAGTATTGCAAGCCTCACTACGTTCGACTCGCAAACCTACTGCTTCAGCACAAAAAAGTAAAGCTTCTACTCCTAATACAACAATATACTATTCTATTCATGATATTGCGGTTCCATGCGTTTACTGGATGTGATTAAGGGCCGGTATTATAAAGCTGGTGAACCGAAAGTTGAGTTTCAACCAGCGGTCGAACTGACATTTCCGTATGATTTTATATGGACATTTCAGTTCAACCAGGCTTGATAATACCGGCCCTAAGTATCATTTTCCAATTTCAAAGGAAAACGTACGGCTTGGAACCTCTGAGACGGGATCAGAATCTCTATCAAAAGCCTTTGCTGCAATCGGAAACCCTACTGAGACACTTTCCAATATCTGTATAAACGAGCTTCAGCTCTTTACTGTTAAATTATATGACATTAAAGACCCTCATTTTGCTAGCGTAAATGAGGCTCGAAAAATTTTGTTTGCCACAGAAAACAGACCAATTCCACCAACCCTAGATACTCTAAAACAACATATTTCATGTGCTAGTTATCAGGCAACTATGGGACAGATCAGTGGAAAACACTTCAATACCATTGCGTGATAGGTGGGGATGGACAATGAAAAATGATGAGTGAACTCCATTGTGGACAATACAGGACAATATCTGGCCCAATCATAGGGCATTGGATAAATGTGGGTGCAAATCTGATTGTTGCTCCACAAGATGTCAATACTTTAAGCGACATCTTTCTTGCAAAAATTGCAGAGGAAATTGCAGTAATAAAGGATAACTAACTTTTTTTTTGATTTTATCTGTATTTTGAATTTATGACATTGGCAAGAAGAAGAGGGGGAGAGAGACTTTGAGTGGAGCTTGAAGGAGCCATTTTATCATCAGCTACGTCTTTTAAAGGCAGAATTTATTATCATTTGCATGATTGAACATACCTTTTCTCAATCCAACCAAATAAACCCTTTGAAAACGCCACTGGATTACCCACCTCCACACACGTTTCTTGCCGTGTGCTTCAGGTCAAAATGCTTATTTTTGTATAAATATGCTATCAATTTACCAAGTCCCACCTTTTAGTCATCAATAGCGACAAAGTTAGGTGAGCCGCTAGTACTAACAGAGATAAACGACCTAAGAGTTCTAAGACGAATAACTTGCGGGTCAGATCATATTTTAGTAAGAGCCAAAATAAAGTTGCAATTTAGGAAAATGAACAAGAACCCAGAGGAACAAAACACCAATTCCATACTAACGGACACAGTGGATACAGCAAAATACAATTTTGACAGTTTTAGAGATGACAGCACTGCATTTCTATATATCAGAGGCGACTCGACAGCAAACTATTGAACCCTGAAGATTGTACCATCAATAAACTCTATAAGGATACTATAAGGAGTCTAATAGAAGCCACCCAAGAAGCAATAGAAACGAAGGAAAAAAATTGAAACAAGAAATATTGCTGGAACGAGGAGATAGAGCTATTAGTCCAAGAGAAGAAGCAAAAATATCTGAAATGACTAACAACGAAAAATGAACAAGACCTTGAAGTTTATGAAGACATAAAAAGGCAACTAAGAACGTGCATCACTACAGCTAAGAAGGAGCCATGGGATAAGAAATGTGAAGAAATTAACACCTACATAGGAGGAAGCAACTGTTCAGAGGTATAGGGACTTATATCAAATGTCAAAAACCCAGGAAACGACAGAGCTAATATCCAGGTTATTAAGACAGAGCAATGGAGAGAACACTACAAGGGTCTATTGAA